GGGCCTACCCCGCTGGGGGCTTCCAGGCCGGCGATGGGCTTTCGGCCCAGCTAGATCCGGGCTGAGCTGCGCTCCCTGAGGCCTCGGCGGGGTGCCCCTCCCGCCGCCCCAGGCCCGGGCCGAGGAGCCCTGCCGAGCCGCGCCATGGAGGCCATCTGGCTATACCAGTTCCGGCTCATTGTTATCGGGGATTCCACGGTGGGCAAGTCCTGCCTGATCCGCCGCTTCACCGAGGGCCGCTTTGCCCAGGTTTCGGACCCCACCGTGGGAGTGGATTTTTTCTCCCGCTTGGTGGAGATCGAGCCGGGAAAACGCATCAAGCTCCAGATCTGGGATACCGCGGGTCAAGAGAGGTTCAGGTGGGAGCGCAGCCCGGGCCCGTGAGCCGTGGGAGGGGCTTCGGGGCTTGCACAGCCCCTGGGGAGGCAGGATGTCCCGGTCCTCGTCGCGGTCTTCGGGGGCGACCCCGAGGGTCTGGGGGATTCTATTCAAGCCCACCGTCAGCTAGCTGGGAGTTCAGTGCAGGGGCAGAAGCGCCCTGGCGGGGAAGGCCGGCCAGGAGCGCGTATGACCTGCACCACAACTCCACCAACATGCCCCTAGTCAACTAGCTGAAACTGATCGCTGTAATTCATCAGCCTAAGTCCCTATTTTACATACTTCCAGAAATGTGCCCAGGTCATCCTAACATAACTATACATATAGATACATATAGATCCGTGTGTATTATGTTTTATGTCTACCTCTGTGTGTGTGTATATTACATACACAGATATAAATATATATATACACACACATACATACACACACGCACTAGGATATGTCCCAACATAAAGGAAATCGTCGGATACTGATGAATTAATCGATTCCTTCTTGCAACCAGCACACATTCGGCGATCACCTATTATGTGCCAGACACTGGACGTGTTTCTAGGAAACAGCACGAGGAAATTCACACAAGGGGGTGCCATGTAATGAGAACACACAGAGCCCCTTCCCTCATGGAACTTCTGTGCTAGCATAATAGGGGGAATAGATAATCAGCATTTACACAAAAGTGTCTTCTTCATATTGTTATGCCCACTCCTTACTGTAACGCCTGGCACATAATGAGTAATCGATGAATATATTTTTCTCTTACAACCCTTTGCTTTTCTTTTGTAGTATGCATTATTGGTAATTATATGTATGAACACAGAGGAAGGAAGGTTAATTGGAGAAGATGAGGCTACATGAGCATGATTGCCCAAGCAAAGGCAGGAAGCAGCCAGGGATAGGAAACAGCATGTATAAAAGACAGAAGTTACAGACAGCAGAGCATACACAGAAAACTTCGCAAAGAAAGATTTGAAATGAAGTCAGGTGGAGCATCAGGAACCATATCAAAAGGACTCAAAAACCCATGTTTATGATCATTTACTCATTTATCTATTGGACACTAATGAGCATAGAAGATACTGGTTAGGTCATTTAAGATGTGTAGGGAGAAGAGATAATTACAAACTTATCTCCAGCTCCCTATTTCCACAAACAATATTGTGGCAAATATCCTTGTACAGGTTACTTTGAAAAAATGCATTTCTCAAAAGTGAAGAAAGGTATCTTTTATATGTTTGTTAGAATTTCTTTCTGTATGAACAGCCTGTTCATATCCACTGTTTATAGTTACTAGGCAATATTGATTTGTAAGAACTTTTTACAGATTAAGAATATTAGTTTGGATCCCCATACCAGCCGGCCACCCTGAAAAAAAAAAAAAAAGGAAAATATTAACCCATTTCTGTCATACCTTTAAGATATGTTCCCAGTTTTTCATTTGTCTTTTCACTTTAAGTTGTTGTAGGGAAGATTTTAAGTTTTATGCATACTATGTCATGCTTAGAAAGGGCTTTGTCAGGTTTTTTTGTTAATACTCACAAACCATTAATGTAATAATGTATTCTAGAGTTTTGACAGGGATCTCCAGCTTGCCTATTGATTTCTTGAATCAAGCTTTTCACAAATCAAAACCTTTGTTCATGTCTAATTTTCTGGTACATCTACCAGTCTCCATGAATCTTCAAACATAAGGGAATTAAAAATGTTTTCAGACCCCAGGGCTGATTTGCCTGGTTCTGGAGACTTGGATTCATTTGCCATCATGTAGCCTGAACTGTTTGTGCCCTGGACAGTGTCTGCTCTGTTAACATTGGCTCATCTTAACTAAGCCTTAAGCTGTTGAGTGCTTCATTGTTTATCTTCTTCATCTAAGGAGACAGAAACCTAAAAATAGACACAGATCAAAAATCACCATCGTCTACAGCAAGTGATCGTAGACGTGTAAAAGTCTAACGCACTCGAAGCAAAATACCTTACTGTATATTTGTGACAAGAAGTTAAAATGTGAGTTTTCTTCTGTTTAAGTACAGGCAATATATAATAGGTTTTAGAAATATCCTAATTGCAATGATTTAAATAAATAATGTCATTTTAAGGGGAAACTTCAGCTATTTAGGCAGTTTTTTCCTAGCTGGTGGCTGCCGAGTCGGCACTTTGATGCTGAATCCTTCACTGTCCGGCTTTTTCCCGTTTCCACAGTTTTTTTTCCCCACAGAACAGACTGAGGACCCCCGTTAGAGGATGATGATGATTAATAACAGCAGTGGAAAGAGAACTATGGTAATGATCGATGGAAAAAGTAGAGTATATTGCAAAGTACCTATATACTTATAACTGTTTTCTGTTAACTATCATAAGTTCATTTTTATTTTTAAAAAATCCTGCTTCAACTGTTACCTTTTGCAATGAACTGTGCATGTCACAGAACACTTCAATACCCATTACTTCATCTTGCCTCCTGATAACCCTGTGACCTACGTGCCTATGTCTCTGTCAGTTACTCAGGTCTGGGGCTCAGAGAGTTGGTCGTGGTTCTGCACCAGGTCCCCCAGGGTCCCTTCTCAGTGCCGAACTGGGGAAATGCCTGAAAGCCTATGTCCGTGGGCTTTCATTTCTAGAAGACGTTATCTCCAAGTTTCGCCCAGTTGAAAACCCACATATTATTCTCATTGAATGGCATTTATATTCCCTTGTTTTAAAAAATCGCTTTCACTAAAAGAGTGCGTCAGCCACCAGGAAGCCTGGACTGCACTGAGTTGCGGGGCACGGTCTTGACTCTACTTCTCTCTTGTGTTTTAGATCCATCACTCGCGCCTACTACAGGAATTCAGTAGGTGGTCTTCTCTTATTTGACATTACCAACCGCAGGTCCTTCCAGAATGTCCATGAGTGGTTAGAAGAGACCAAAGTACACGTTCAGCCCTACCAAATTGTATTTGTTCTGGTGGGTCACAAGTGTGACCTGGATACACAGAGGCAAGTGACTCGCCATGAGGCCGAGAAACTGGCTGCTGCATATGGCATGAAGTACATTGAAACGTCAGCCCGAGATGCCATTAATGTGGAGAAAGCCTTCACAGACCTGACGAGAGACATTTATGAGCTGGTTAAAAGGGGCGAGATTACAATTCAGGAGGGCTGGGAAGGGGTGAAGAGTGGATTTGTACCAAATGTGGTTCACTCTTCCGAAGAGGTTGTCAAATCAGAGAGGAGATGTTTGTGCTAGTCCACCCTTTGATTTCCGAAACATGCTCTCCCACCCGAACTTAAAAGTGACTGAAACAAATATAATCCTCGTGTGACTGAAGAAAGCTCAACCTCCATTTGGATACCAAGTGAGCCTCCTTTCCACGGGGGCTCTGACAGGCTCGTGTGCACGTGAATGGGGAGCCTGGGTGCTGTGATCGAGGGACTGAATTGCTCACATGGGCCAGGCCAGGCACTGTTTTGTGGCCCATGCTGGACAGTGACCGCTCCATATGCCCCTCGTGGGCCACATGTTAAGGCCCCGGGGTTCGGGAAAACATACCTATAGACAGGACAATTGTTTCTTGGTATTTCAGCTCATTCATAGGTCATAAACATAAAGAAATATGTAAAGGGAAAAAAAAAGTGTCACATTGGGCCCTAACTAATTAAGACTATGAGACAAAGACTATGGAATCAACTTATTCAGTGGGAATAGCCTGTACCAAATGTGTGTCCTGGGTTTGGTTGAAAGGTACCTCTTATAGCTTCTAACGGCTCACCTGGAAAGTGAGGGGCATGAACCAGCTATTTGCGAAGGTCTGGTGTCTAGTAAAATGATTTGAATATCACATTTGAGAAAACGTCCACCCTTGTGGTAGAGTTACCAGCCATGTGAATGAAATTGTCCCATGCCAAGTATCATATTAGTAGAAGAAACACTGTAACCCAGATGCCATACCCTAGCTCCCCCTCGGATCTTCCCTGGGGTTTTACTGCATGGGTGGCTGCAATCTGGAAGTAAACAGCCTGCCTGCTGCTTCAGGCACCTGACAGTTCCAACACACGGATTGCCTCTGAAGAGAGCCCTGATGCAAATACTCGCTTGTCAATTGTGTACTGAGTACCTGCTCAACAGGAGTCTCTGTAACCCTCACAAATACGTTACAGTTACTTGAGCAACTTATTTGCTCATCATAACAGGCCTGTGAGGTTCTTGTCCCCATTTTACAGAATAGTAAACTAAGAGTCAGGAGACTCACTTGGCCAAGGTCAAGGACTCCTAACTTCTAGTTCTTTTCCTTGCATTATCTTGTTGTCAGATTAATAAATAATTATGAATTTATTTACTTTGGAAGAAATGTGACTGTAAATAAATGTTCTCTACATGTTAGGATATGTTTTCCTTATTGACTGTAACTCAGCTATAATCCTGATGGTACCTGGGAATGAATCAAAGGTAAAGCCCATTCAGGTATTATTGACAAGAGAGCTTTAAACAAGTGAATAATTGCACAACTGAAAACACATTAAAACTGTATGGGCTGTAAGTGTTCTTATCACTGAAACACAATGGACATTTTCTTGAAAGGAACCAAATACATCAATGGGAAGTGGTGTAGGGATAAAATACTCACACCACAATGACCTTGGCCACCTGTCTGCCAAATACCTACACTGGGTTCCCATCAATCCTAAAGAGTCAGCTCTTAATTCTCAGGTGAACAAACAGCAAATTGGAATGGCTGCCTTGAAGTTTCCATTATGTTCTTGAGAGGTGATGCTTTAAACTATTTTGGATTGTAGCCAGTTGAGCTAGGCAAAAGCCATACTTTTGACGGTAAAAACTATTATGATTAGAGTCAGGTTTATCATATCCATTATGATAGGAAAGCCTAAGAATGGAAAATGGCTTTGAGATATAGTACTGAACTTTAGTATGAATGTGACTGAATCTGAAAGTTTGGGAAGTTGCTTCCGCCAAAATAAAGAAGTGAAATAATGAAAATTATGGAAAACTGTTCTGCCCCCTGTGCCCCAAGCTGAATGAGCAAAACACCTTGGACCAATTTGCAACATCAACTGTAAGTGAACTGATCATCTCCATATCCATTTTACATGAGCTTGCTTGGGTCAGGTAACTAAATTGCCAGATTCATGGTTGTAAAAGACCGCAAATTGGGTTAACACAAAATTTTATCAACTACTATACTTAATTATATGTAGAAGATTCTGAAAGTAAGATTATCCAGTGGATAAATGAGAGCTGACTAGATTCTTGTCAGTTCAAATAAGGATAGAAACAAAACTTCTCTACAGTTTTCTTGACTAAAATACATTATGTGTATACTTTTCCCATTCCTGACATTTTTAAGGCAGGTTTAAAAATACTCAGCATAGATCCAGCAGAGGTGGCTGAGCTTAACTGCTTAAACAAGGTCTAGAAACTTTAAAAATCATTTTTGTAGAATTCAGTGCTGTTGTCACTGAAATAAGTGGGTTTTAGAAAATGTGTGATGAAATCAGGTGTTCATATAATACTAAGGATGAAGCTTTAGAAGCTATTTTACTACATAGGTGAAGAAAAGATAACTTGTAACAAAGACCATAAGTGCATGTTGGATTAGATTGTCTCATATGCCAGAATAAAATGTACTGTATACTTTTTCTTCACTTTGTTGTGCACTGTAGTGAAATGTGAAAAATGCTTTATTTAGCTGTATGTGAATGAAAATATGCTTGTATTTAGTAAAATGGTTGATTATGTGATCCAGGTGTGTGTTGTAGCTATTTCCAGAGTCTGTCACTACAGCCCAGCAACCGCTACCAAGGATGTCAGTAAGATGTGACATATACTATGCACGGCTGTATTCACCAGTATCTCAAAGCCAGAGACAGAATATGATTTCTGGAAGTTATATGACCATCATATTGAAAGTCACAGAGACCTCACTACTTCCTGGCCACTTTGGGAAAAGTTAGTTGTGTCAAGCCTAAATCTTCATCACTGCAATTTTTAGTCAAGGATCTCAATTCTGTCACCAGGTCGTTGATTACAACTATTGTCTTCCTCAGAGAGTCTTCTTTTCTCCAGACTAAATTGCCTCAGTATTTTCCAATCCTACGCTGGTGAGCTTTTTGTATCGGGCTCACTTGGAGTGAGGGGCCCAGGTTGGAACACAATAGTTCAGCACACTTCTCAGGGTTGATAGTTCAGCACACTTCTCAGGGTTGATAGTACATATTTGGGAGAGAATAAAGAAGGGAAAGATGTTTAATTCTGAGTCTGGGCATGGGTAGGCTAAGTTCCACACGGCTTTATCACTTTTATAGCAATGAGTGAATGGAAGGAAGGGAGGAAGGAAAGAAGAAAGGAAACAAGCGACGTGACAGCATTGGGTGTGGTTTATCATTCAATTCTCCTTCAAATGCTCCCCAGGGCTTCATCATGTTTTCCTCATTCCTATGGGTTCCCTTGGTGACTTCCTTCAGTCCCGCGGCTGTAAATCCCATCTATAAGCCACTGAGTCCTGAACTTATATCTGTTTTGTTTGTCTCTTTTCCATAGACTGCAGACCCTCATAACCAACTGCCTACCTGACATCTCCGTTTTAATGTCCTATCAGGCATCACAGATTTAACATGTCCCGAATCAGGCTCCTCGTCTACTTCCCAAATCTGTTCCTCCCACAGCCTTCCCTTCCTCAGTAAATGGCAACTTTGTCTTTCATGTACTCTTGTCAAAAACCTTGGAGTCACCCTTGACTCCTTTCTTTCACAGTCTACATCCGATCTATCTGGAAATTATGCTGGCTCTACCTTAAAAATATAACCAGAATCTGACAGCTTTTTACCATTTTCACTGCTCACACGCTGGTGCTGGCCACTAGCACTTGCCTGGTAATGTTGTCATAGCTGCCGATCTCGTCCCCTGCCAGAGGGAGCCTGATAAAAACTAGTTATAAGCAATCATCTACTCATCATTCTCCAATGGTTATCCATTTCACTCAGCTTAAAACCCAAAGTCCTTCCAATGGCCTTCAGAAGAACCCTTCAAAATGAATTCCATCACTCTGGAACCTCATTTCTTACTGCTGACCCCTTGTTCATTTTACTCCAGCTACACAGGTTCCCTTCCTGTCCTTCAAACACAACAAGCACATTCCCACCTCAGGGAATTTGTACTTGCTCTTCCCTCTGTCCAGAATTTTCTTTTCTGAGATATTTGCATGGATTTCTCCCTCACTTCCATCAAGTTCTGGAGCCAGCCGCTTCCAAGATCTGCAAGCAGCTTCCTGATCTTAGGGAAGACAGGGCCCCATAAGTCCTTACTGAAAGCTCAACCCGGGGTTTTACTCTTTAGTCTTCTTTGAAGAACAACAAAGTTTAGGGTGTACCAAAAAAGGAAGGGGTGGACAGTAGTATCACAGTGCAGCAGTGGGTTCACAAAGATAGAACTAAAATGCGTTTCTAGAATTGGAAGAAGCAGGAAGTCATGAGTGGCCTTTCATCAGCACAGTGTTGGTGAAATGATTTCTGCCTACACCAAGGCTCCCAGGAAGCGGGTGCTCTCAGTTCTGTCAGACGCCCAATCCTTTTCTTGCTCTCCATCCTGTCCTCTCCCTAGACAATCTTACTCCCATATCTTTAGTTCAGTCTTTGCATTTCTGGCTCCCAAACGAGAGACTACAGCCCACTCTTCTGAGCATTATACCAATTCAGCCAACTTGCCTACTAGACACAAATTCCTCAAATTCAACATATCCAATACAAAGTCAACATCTATTAAAATGCGCTCTATCCACCCCAGCCTTCTTCATCTCTATAAACATACCACCATCTACCTGCTTGCTGAAGGTACAAATTTGGGAGTTATCCTTGATTCCTCACTTCCTCTCACTTCTCATATTAAATCCATCATCAAGCACTGTGAACTCCATTTTTCCTTCATCTCCATTGCTATCACTTTTGTCTAAGCCACTATCAACTCTTACCTGAACTACTTCAATATCTTCCTAACTGGTCTCTTGCTCCCACCACAATGACACATTCTCAATATAACAGCCAGAGTGATCTTTTCACAACATAAATCAGATCAAGTCATTCCCCTGCTTCAAGCCCATGAGTAGTTTCTCATCACATTTAGAAAAAATCCAAAGAAACCTTCCATTTCTTAACATGGCTACAAGGCCCTGCCAGAACCTGGCCTCTGCCTACCTCTCCAACTAGGAGTTCAACAAAAGCAGGGATCTCATTCATCTTGTTCACCAGTATTTCTCCAACCTGTACCACATAGAATGTGCTTGTATAATCGGTAAGTACTTGAACGAATGATTATTTTCTTGCCCTACTTTAATTCAATGGCCTGACTCTTACTTCACTTCAGTAAAATACACACGTGTCCCTGTCCTGAAGAATTTCCAAATTTTATGCAGCCTCTGGAACTCTTCACTGATTACAAGCTCTGGTTGTCCACTCCGTCCCATGATCCCTGTTTTGAACTTCTTTAGGACCTTTAGTCAATCAACCACTACCCATTGCCAGTCTACCCCCTGACTTTATTTTCCTTCCCCTTTCTCCCAACTCTTGTAGTCAACTGCATTCAAACATCAGTTCCTAAAGAAAATGATTATTAAAAGTGTGGTCTATTTCCTTCTGGATTTTTTTATTTTACTTTTCAAAAGTTTGTTTACCATAGTGGTTAAGAGTATGGACTTTAAAGTAAGACAAACATGGGTTCAAATTCTGACTCTACCAGTTAATATACTCGTGAGTCAATCTCTCTGAGTACCAGCTTACACATGTATAAGTTTGAATAATAATAGTATTTAACTCCTAGGGTTGTGAGGATGAAGCGAGATAATCCATATATAGTACTTAGTACAGGCCCTGGCACTTGGTAAACATCACATAATAACTATACTCAGAAAATGTTAGGTATTATAATATGTTTGTACCTAAATGGATCTTTATCATAAACAGTATCATGTAACACATACTGTGCTGTTACCTCTTCACAAGCAGTGTATTTTCTATAAATACATGAGGGCAAGAGCTTGTCTGTTTTTGCCAACTATATCTCTACAGTCAATCAATGCCTGTACATATTTCTTGAACGTGATCAGGGGGTTCACATACTGAAAATTGCAGAGCAGAGATAGAAGAAAACTGGGTCCTTGCTGATGTCATTGAGCTACAGATTTAACTACCCTGGAGTCACCCTATATTAAGACTCTTTGTCACATGAGATAATAAATCCCGTTTTAATTAATACCATTTTTTCCACTTGTAGCTGAAAGTCTCCTAAGTGATACAATAGCATTTCACTGTATGAACATACAATAAGTTATTTAATCAATCCTCCTTAGATTTTGTGCAATTCTTTGCTGTTATAAAGCAATTCTACAATGCAAATACACCTCTGTGTATTTGATCAATTATGCCCTCAAGTCAAAATCCTAAAAGTGGAATCAAAGAATATACACACTTAAAATTTTTTGGTGTAATTGATCAGATTGCTCTTCAGAAACATTTCACTGAATGACCATAAAGAGCGTATGATCGTGTTTATACTGGGCATTATTGTCAATCTTTCAACTTTTCTAAATTTGAGAGATGAATACTGTATCAGTATTTTTAAATACGTATATCTTTGATTATTGGTTTTCTGTTACTTGAAGCTGAAAGTAGGCCTAAATAATAAAAGTGTGCTTTTTTTCTTATTTATTAGTAAAATCTCCTTATATACGGAAACTAGTTCTTTATTCATCATATGTGTTACAAATATTTTTTCAGGTTTTTCTGACTTTTTAAACTTTCTGGTGGTTGGTAATACAGAAGTCTCTAATATCTAGGTGACCAAATCTGTTGTGTACGAGAAACTGGAAAGAGTCTTTGTGTCAGAGTTTTGGGGACTGGGTGGTTGCAGAACAAAGTGTGAAGAAGACAATTTGTACCATGAACCTTACGTTACCTTTCTTGTACAGTATGTTGTCTTGTCTTAATGTTTTGTGGCGATAGTGGCAGGTTTAGATAGACCTTCTCCACCCGAAAACTAGAAAACTGTTATATTAGTCACTGGTGATAACAGAGTATCTGAAAGTGGTAATTTATGAAGAAACAAAATTTATCCAATCACCTCTTAAAGGCCCCACCTTTCAAATACAATATTGGGAATTAAGTTCCACATGAGCTTTGGAGGAGACAAACATTCAGACCATAGCAACTGTTTTCCTATAATGGATTTGGGTTTCCTTAGGCATCGACTTATGTATAGTATGTGGAAATAGGAATGACAACTATTTTATGTGAAGTAATAAGAGACCCTGGACTTCCCAGGTATCGAAACTATAATAAATAAATTTCATTTCTTAAATTACCCAGTTTCAGGTATTCTATTATCAGTGGGAGAAAACTGACCAATACAACAGTTTTCTAGTTCGGGAGCTGGGAAGGCCTATCCAAATGGCTATTTGTCCCAGCACTATCCGTAGATATATTTTGTCCCTTCAAAATTATCTTCACTATTGTCATGCAGTTATATTAGTTAGAACTTGAGAATAAATGTCTCAAGTTCCCCCTGAGGTAGGGTTGTGATTTTGATTGAAATTGTATTAATTTACTGTCACTCACATATGGCAGGAATGAGCATCTTTACAATATTTACCCAAGAATATGTCATTTCATTATTTTAGTTCTCCATTGATGCCTATCAGTAACTTTTTATCATTCTTTTATTAGTTTAGCCATTTTGTTTATTCCCAGATATT